TGTGATGTGTAAATATGTTTCTGTGATCATCCAGAGAGAGACTGTGATGTGTAAATATGTTTCTGTGATCATCCAGAGAGAGACTGTGATGTGTAAATATGTTTCTGTGATCATCCAGAGAGAGACTGTGATGTGTAAATATGTTTCTGTGATCATCCAGAGAGAGACTGTGATGTGTAAATATGTTTCTGTGATCATCCAGAGAGAGACTGTGATGTGTAAATATGTTTCTGTGATCATCCAGAGAGAGACTGTGATGTGTAAATATGTTTCTGTGATCATCCAGAGAGAGAGACTGTGATGTGTAAATATGTTTCTGTGATCATCCAGAGAGAGAGAGACTGTGATGTGTAAATATGTTTCTGTGATCATCCAGAGAGAGACTGTGATGTGTAAATATGTTTCTGTGATCATCCAGAGAGAGAGACTGTGATGTGTAAATATGTTTCTGTGATCATCCAGAGAGAGACTGTGATGTGTAAATATGTTTCTGTGATCATCCAGAGAGAGACTGTGATGTGTAAATATGTTTCTGTGATCATCCAGAGAGAGACTGTGATGTGTAAATATGTTTCTGTGATCATCCAGAGAGAGACTGTGATGTGTAAATATGTTTCTGTGATCATCCAGAGAGAGACTGTGATGTGTAAATATGTTTCTGTGATCATCCAGAGAGAGACTGTGATGTGTAAATATGTTTCTGTGATCATCCAGAGAGAGACTGTGATGTGTAAATATGTTTCTGTGATCATCCAGAGAGAGACTGTGATGTGTAAATATGTTTCTGTGATCATCCAGAGAGAGACTGTGATGTGTAAATATGTTTCTGTGATCATCCAGAGAGAGACTGTGATGTGTAAATATGTTTCTGTGATCATCCAGAGAGAGACTGTGATGTGTAAATATGTTTCTGTGATCATCCAGAGAGAGACTGTGATGTGTAAATATGTTTCTGTGATCATCCAGAGAGAGACTGTGATGTGTAAATATGTTTCTGTGATCATCCAGAGAGACTGTGATGTGTAAATATGTTTCTGTGATCATCCAGAGAGAGACTGTGATGTGTAAATATGTTTCTGTGATCATCCAGAGAGAGACTGTGATGTGTAAATATGTTTCTGTGATCATCCAGAGAGAGAGACTGTGATGTGTAAATATGTTTCTGTGATCATCCAGAGAGAGACTGTGATGTGTAAATATGTTTCTGTGATCATCCAGAGAGAGACTGTGATGTGTAAATATGTTTCTGTGATCATCCAGAGAGAGAGACTGTGATGTGTAAATATGTTTCTGTGATCATCCAGAGAGAGAGACTGTGATGTGTAAATATGTTTCTGTGATCATCCAGAGAGAGACTGTGATGTGTAAATATGTTTCTGTGATCATCCAGAGAGAGAGACTGTGATGTGTAAATATGTTTCTGTGATCATCCAGAGAGAGAGAGACTGTGATGTGTAAATATGTTTCTGTGATCATCCAGAGAGAGAGACTGTGATGTGTAAATATGTTTCTGTGATCATCCAGAGAGAGACTGTGATGTGTAAATATGTTTCTGTGATCATCCAGAGAGAGACTGTGATGTGTAAATATGTTTCTGTGATCATCAGAGAGAGAGAGACTGTGATGTGTAAATATGTTTCTGTGATCATCCAGAGAGAGAGAGAGACTGTGATGTGTAAATATGTTTCTGTGATCATCCAGAGAGAGACTGTGATGTGTAAATATGTTTCTGTGATCATCCAGAGAGAGACTGTGATGTGTAAATATGTTTCTGTGATCATCCAGAGAGAGACTGTGATGTGTAAATATGTTTCTGTGATCATCCAGAGAGAGAGACTGTGATGTGTAAATATGTTTCTGTGATCATCCAGAGAGAGACTGTGATGTGTAAATATGTTTCTGTGATCATCCAGAGAGAGACTGTGATGTGTAAATATGTTTCTGTGATCATCCAGAGAGAGAGACTGTGATGTGTAAATATGTTTCTGTGATCATCCAGAGAGAGACTGTGATGTGTAAATATGTTTCTGTGATCATCCAGAGAGAGAGACTGTGATGTGTAAATATGTTTCTGTGATCATCCAGAGAGAGACTGTGATGTGTAAATATGTTTCTGTGATCATCCAGAGAGAGACTGTGATGTGTAAATATGTTTCTGTGATCATCCAGAGAGAGACTGTGATGTGTAAATATGTTTCTGTGATCATCCAGAGAGAGACTGTGATGTGTAAATATGTTTCTGTGATCATCCAGAGAGAGAGACTGTGATGTGTAAATATGTTTCTGTGATCATCCAGAGAGAGACTGTGATGTGTAAATATGTTTCTGTGATCATCCAGAGAGAGACTGTGATGTGTAAATATGTTTCTGTGATCATCCAGAGAGAGACTGTGATGTGTAAATATGTTTCTGTGATCATCCAGAGAGAGACTGTGATGTGTAAATATGTTTCTGTGATCATCCAGAGAGAGACTGTGATGTGTAAATATGTTTCTGTGATCATCCAGAGAGAGACTGTGATGTGTAAATATGTTTCTGTGATCATCCAGAGAGAGACTGTGATGTGTAAATATGTTTCTGTGATCATCCAGAGAGAGACTGTGATGTGTAAATATGTTTCTGTGATCATCCAGAGAGAGAGAGACTGTGATGTGTAAATATGTTTCTGTGATCATCCAGAGAGAGACTGTGATGTGTAAATATGTTTCTGTGATCATCCAGAGAGAGAGACTGTGATGTGTAAATATGTTTCTGTGATCATCCAGAGAGAGACTGTGATGTGTAAATATGTTTCTGTGATCATCCAGAGAGAGACTGTGATGTGTAAATATGTTTCTGTGATCATCCAGAGAGAGACTGTGATGTGTAAATATGTTTCTGTGATCATCCAGAGAGAGACTGTGATGTGTGATGTGTAAATATGTTTCTGTGATCATCCAGAGAGAGACTGTGATGTGTAAATATGTTTCTGTGATCATCCAGAGAGAGACTGTGATGTGTAAATATGTTTCTGTGATCATCCAGAGAGAGACTGTGATGTGTAAATATGTTTCTGTGATCATCCAGAGAGAGACTGTGATGTGTAAATATGTTTCTGTGATCATCCAGAGAGAGACTGTGATGTGTAAATATGTTTCTGTGATCATCCAGAGAGAGACTGTGATGTGTAAATATGTTTCTGTGATCATCCAGAGAGAGACTGTGATGTGTAAATATGTTTCTGTGATCATCCAGAGAGAGAGACTGTGATGTGTAAATATGTTTCTGTGATCATCCAGAGAGAGACTGTGATGTGTAAATATGTTTCTGTGATCATCCAGAGAGACTGTGATGTGTAAATATGTTTCTGTGATCATCGAGAGAGAGAGACTGTGATGTGTAAATATGTTTCTGTGATCATCCATCCAGAGAGACTGTGATGTTTCTGTGATCATCCAGAGAATATGTAAATATGTTTCTGTGATCATCCAGAGAGAGAGAGAGACTGTGATGTGTAAATATGTTTCTGTGATCATTTATTTTGAGAGAGACTGTGATGTTGTAAATATGTTTCTGTGATCATCGGTGCCATAAATGATACTGTGATGTGTACTTTAAAAAAATGTTTTGAAACTGATTTCATCCAGTTGAGAGACGAGAAAGTTCATTCAACAATTTTTTCTAATTGTATTCTGTGATCATCTAACAGCAGCAGATTTACTGTGAGAAAACAAGACCACCAGGCCACCTTATGTTAGCTTTTCCCACAAATGTGCCCTGGGGGTGAGATGATTTTGGATTTAACAGCACTTTCAATAGTATTTCCACTTATATCACAAGTGAACCAGGGATGGTACTGCACTGAATTTCAATTAAGCATTCACTCAAATCTTACTGCATGAAGAACAGTTTTTAAAAAGCAGTGGCTTTAGCTTTGCCCATTCTCACAAGTGGATTTATTTTGGACTCGTCAACTTTGTGGTGTTGACGCACTCCAGAGACTCCTTTAGCTGGTTCATGGATGTTGGATAGTCCATGCAGATGGTGACGAGCAGTGCGTCTTCGACTTTTGTCGTCAAACGGATGATCCTGAAATGTGAGATTATATTATTGAAATATGCTTAACCTAATACCAAAAGTAATATACATACCAAGTAACAAATGTAAAAATTACATATAACATTCGTAATCCCAAATACAATAAGATACAGAGGCTATGACATTCCTGTTAATGCTGATCTATATATCTATATCTAAATATTGTTTTGTGAACGGACTTGATCTGTCCAACTATTATACTCACAACAATGTTGATGTCATCAATAAAGCAAGGTGGAGGTCTTGCAGCAGGGAGTGGCTTGTTGACTTTCTCAAGAGTTTGTTCAGGGTACACAGGAGCAGAAGGCATACGGAGAGGGAATCCTCTACAACAAATAAGATTAATAAAGGAATCAAATCATTATCAAAAGTAAATGCCTTTGGACTTAATTTGTGAACACTCAGTTTGCCAAACTGGTTAATGTCAGCTAAAAACTGTAATTAGTAATGATAATGCAATTATTTTCAATCCTGTAATATTTCTGGTTTGCTTATCATCAGCCCCTGGCCAATCCTGGATCATTCCATTTGTTATAAAGTTATGATTCTTGAAAATCAGCTACACAGAAAGTTATGAAAATAATTATTTCATTAATTAAAGGGTTAAAATGCTAAAGTTGGAGTTTAAAGGGTGAAGCGCCATTGATTCGATTTATGCCCTTGTTTCACATGTACAAATTAGTTGAGACAATCAATTACCTGTCAGGGTCTAGCCTCACAAGACTCTCTCCACAAAACTTTGCCATGTTTGTTTCCAGACCAATACAGGTAGGTACTCCATTGTTTGAACCAGGAAGAGCGGTCAGTGAGTAGTAAATTGCTTCACAATTCTGACTGCTGACTGCACGTTGATTGTAGGTTCGACGTTTGGTCAGACTATAAAGCTGCAGATCCACGTCAATGCTTGCAATTGTTGCTTCCAATAATTGCTTTGGATATCCCTTTATATGCATTCCGGGGGGAGGAAACCTCTGCAGATCCACAAAGGACAACAGCTTTTCTCTGTATCTTAAATGAAAGAAATTGCATTCTCATTTACAGACGTAAGCATTAGGAAAGTGTGATCATTGTTAACTAACTTTCCAGTAGTAGTAGAATTCTGTTTTTTTATGCTAAATCAGCAAGGGCCAGGACCAAACTTAGCACTTGATCATAATCATTTAATGATTGCAAGTGATGTTAATAACAATTTACTATTGTCAAGAAAGTACTTACCTCCACATATTTCTGCATCTTTCAAGGGCTGGAATTCCTGGTTGATCACAAGCTTCGAACCAGTCACGAATCTGAAATAATATCATTTATGGATAATAATGATACAATTTGTGATGAACAGAACAGTACCAATTATCAGAGTTTGGTCTTGTGCTTCAATCTAAATTGAGTACACATATCAGTGTATGACAATCAGACCCATTTGACAGACCAAAATCTTATTGCTTTTTGCAATTTTGAGGTTTTTGTTTAATTTAACGAATTAAATTTATACACTAAGAATTTCTTGTTGGCTACTTTATTATGGTTCTGCAGAACCATTTAGTGGTAGCAAAGTGGACTTGGTCTTGTAGAGCAATAAGTTTTCCCAGAACGGTACTGAAGAAGCATAGTTGATTGATAGTTAAAGTAGGTAATATATGGGAAAAGTATTCTTCCTTGAATATTTACAAATTTTTAAAAAAACACATACATTTTAAGTCACCATTTTGCACATTTCTGCAGACTTGTTAGCTTTCATGGCTCTCAGTTCATTCTCCACTTCAACAGAGAAAGTTATCAAAGAAAAGTCAGTGGTCTGCATGTTTATGCGATCCTCAATCATTCCCAGCTTCAGCTGTGTATTTCCCTGTTCCGCAACTGTGACAAAGTCCGATCTCTTTGCTGATCCAAGATTGCCCTTGCACAAAGCTGATCGATGTCTGGTGAGGAGGTGATGTGGATCTATCTTCTTGGTTTCCAGTTGGTTTCTATCAGAATGCCATTTCGGTATGTAGAACCATTCAACTGGTTTGGATAAACCTAGCACTACCATGTTGTGCTTTATTTTGGCTCCTCGACGCCAATTGTCCAGTATCTCGCCAAATTTCCAGTTAGCATAGGATACATTAAGGGCCATTTTAGGATATGACTTTTGTTGCAGACATTTTAAGGAAAGGCATTTCAATTTTGCAGGAGACCTCCTTCGGAATTTCTGGGATGGTACATCTCCACATATATGAAGCAGATACTTTAATTCTTCAAAAAATGTTTGCTTAGATCCTGATATCCTCACTTTCAGCAGCTTCCTATCACGCAAGAACTTAAGGATTGAACTGAGCTCTTTGGCATTCATTTTTGACATTTCACAGCAACTGACAAAATATCCTTTCAAGTATTCAACTGATGGAGATCCCTGATTTCACTGAGGAAATCCCTTTTGCCAAATACCTTTGTGTACACAACACTTGCAGGGAGGTCGGAATAGCATGTGAACGCCTTGTTCAGATGAGGCTCTAACGTTCTGCACAGTTAGAAAACAACATTAGTGTCGAGCACGTTCGACCTGTCTCAAAATTTCTCAGGTCTTCTTTGTTAGCGCGTTTTAATCACTTGCAGTGCCATAATCGTTGACGCCATCTTGGTAGTGTTTACGACCTCCTAAAGCATTTACGACAGGTCAATTTGGGCTGTTTACGACACAGTGTAAATATACGAGGTCTTTGTGAAACAGGGTAAAAAAGTAAGAGGTGGTCTACGACCTGCTTTACGAGGTCGTACCGGTAAGAGGGCTTTGTGAAACGGGCCCCTGGAGACCACAGCCACGGACCAGTACACAACGAAGTCGAGCAAAAAAATAAATCTCAAATAGATTGTAACAAAATGAGGAATATTTTTTTAAAAAAGGTAAGAAGTATTCCTAACGTTATGTTAAAGGTCACGTGCAACGTAAAACACAACTTTGCAGATTCTGATACCTTTCGGTGTGGACTTACCGAAACAAATCATCAAAAATGCAAATTCAACTTATAAAGTTGAAAAATAACGCGATGAAAAAAAACGCGCGAAGTCGGAGTTCAAAAGATTCACTAATTTTCCCCCAGCGCTTGGGGGAAAAGTGGTTTCAACAGCTGGGCTGCGCTCATAGCACATGCGCAGTGAAATAGGTTCGCGCAGCGGGTTGTCCGGTGAATACTCGGTGAAGGCTTTGGTGTGAGCTATTTCTTTTTAATGTTTTGTTGATATTTCACAGGCGCGAGCTTTTTATATGTTGTACCAGTAGATTACCGATTTAACTGTTTATATAATTTCATTTGTTTATTTCACCACACGTTCTTCTTACCGAGTCACTTTCTCAGTTCGATACTTAAAAGCAATGTCATTATTTAGGGTTGACAGAATATCTAACTGTGACACAGATATGTCGTTGTCATAGACAAAACTCAGTGTCGGTTTTATTGACACCTATGTGTCTGCCTGCCTGTCTGCTAATGACAATATTCAATACACAACTTCGAGCACTGACCACATGCAATTTGAACTTAACACCTATCAGGCTATACACCATAAACAAAACGCATTGATTTATGGCCCGAGTTCGGTCTCTGTCACATTATGTAATTAGACAGACAGGCAGGTGTGATACTTGTACACATGACATGTTATGATGTCTGTTGATTGCAAATTGTTATACACAAGAAAATGAGCATGTATTTACGGTTCATTGCCGGGAATGCTAAAATCGTAACGCTTCTCGGTTCAATGAGCGTAGCCTTCGCGGTACTTGCAATGGCTGTGAAAGTTATGTGAGTATGAGTATGCCCCGTTCTTACCGCTCTGCCTTCTCCAAATTCAGATGAGGTACTGCATGCTCCTCTGCATTTGGAAACCGGCAGATATACAAATGTGAATGTGAATGAGAGGGTATGTTTTCAGTGCAGTGAGAGTGTTGAGGATGAAAGACACGTTCTGTTGTATTGCCCTATGTATGATGATTTGCGTAAAAGTTTATATGAAAATGTCTGTTTTAGCTATCCCAACTTCTTAGATCCTTGTGATGATGATAAATTAGTTTTACTTTTTAAACACCATGTATATTTCAGTGCTAAAACCTGCTTTTATATCTTGCAAAGAAGAAAACATATTTTATACGGATAGATTTTATACTGTATGTACCTATATAATTATTTAGTATTTAGTATTTATAATGTATTAATACATTAGTCTCTCATAACCCTTAAAGGGTGGCTCACTTATATGCTATATTTTATAAATATATTTATATATGTATTTTATGTGAGGTGAGACTGAAATAAAATATCTGTCTGTCTGCAATGTTATGGTTAAATGAACACGGGGCGCCTCACTCGGAGGCTCTGACAAATTACAAAGAAAACAGGATTAACGTGGACGCTCTTTAATTTGGGCACATACAAAAATATTAATACAGCTATACGTTTTCATTTTCAGTATACATTTTCTTGAATTCGACATTAAATTGTCATTATCCATAGTAAATCACATTTCTGTCAATCTACGTCGAGCTTAAGACAATTTGAGAAGTTCAGGCACGTGATCTGTGTAGGCGATGTCCCCGATGATGTTGTTCACAAGGCCCTTCAGGATTAAGTTGACTCTAACCTGCGCACCTGCCATCACGAATATGTGTACGATAGTTCGGTGTCAGTTTGCAACTTAAATATTATAGCAATGTTTTTCGAATTAAATACATCTGAAATAAAAACGCAGCTTAAATACAGGTCTAAACAACCGAAGAAGATAAAGATGCCTGCTACATATTGAAGTTGGAAGATACCATAATGTACCTAGGGAAGAAATAATATGTGTCCATTGTTTATCTTTAAATCTTAATCGAATAGAAGACTGGTTCAAGTCTTAATAAATTCTATGTTCTATTCTGTTCTGATAAATACTCTATTATAACAATGTTTTGAAAAGAAATGTATCTACTCCCGGCATGGATTATGCTTCCCGGTACCGTATCTTTAGCTTTGGCGGTACTCCCCTAATTAGCTCTCCCGGGAAATCCGAAATATACATTTTAGCCTTCACGGGACATCTGAAAAATACATTTTAGCCTTCCCGGTACGACACCGTATTTACAAAACCTAACATCTCTATATATACACACACACAATTAGCTGTGAGGGCATCGGCAAATGAACCAGCCGTTACACTTGAGTGCACACCCACCCGCTCTGACTGGGTTCGGTATCCCGGCTGCTTCGTTTCTAGGGAAGTAAACCCAAGTACAAAATATTGCACTTTTGATTTGCGATTGTACGCTTTTAATTTTGTTTTTATGTTTTTTCATAATCAGCAATGTATATTATATGCCATAAATAAGTGATAACTGTGTTTTAATTATGTTTGATTTTTTGGTTTTATGTGACCTTTAAGCAATCCACTCCTTTGATGATCTCCTAGGTGCATTATCGCGATAATGACATCGCGAGATATCGAACGAGCCTACAGCTCAGCAGGAACAGAAATCGTGACAATTGTTGTGAAAAATGAAAGCTATATGTTCTCACAATCTGCTGTCATTTAATTTTGTCACCTGCTTTGCCTAGCCTCCGAGTGGGCCTAGGACAAATGCCACCCGGACAAATGCCACCTAGGACAAATGCCACCCAAATAAAAATAAAAACCACCAACACAATAACATTTTTAAAAAGTCAACATTACTATGAAATCAAAATTTTACATGAAAATCAACTTTTTTATCAAAGTGAATATATATTTTTAAGAACCCAAATTATTCTTTAAAGTCTACATAATTTTACAACAAAATCAACATTAAAATCAATATGGGTGGTAATTGTCCTCTCTGTAATGGTAAAATAACTGTGTGGCATTTGTCCGGGTGGCTTTTGTCCTGCTCCCCTTCCGAGTTACAACTTGTTTTCATAGACGATTCTGTCGTAATTGCCTGGTGTCGCTTGGCCTTATTTGTTCGAGCCAGCCGCTAGTGATAGTGAAATCTATGATCAGCCTCGCTCATCTCGGTTACGGTTAATTACTTCAACCTAAACAGTGCGACATTAGGAAGGGTGGATGCCATTCAGATGCCGTTATTTGAAAATTTCCCCGGTAGTTCTTGTCTGATTGTATTAAAGTATCAAAGCAGTGTGGGCTTTTGCAGGTTTTCTAATGCCTGGATCGTATAATGACTGATCATAATTGATCCCATTTCTGTGGGTTTTTTACCTCGATATTTATTCACGTCATTTACAAATATGACGTATAATATTAAAAAAAGACATTTGATCTATTTGAATCCGTAAACTAAACAACCCCACTTTGCCATTGCTAGAAGACTCTTAGGTGAATAGGTACATACAGTTTTAGCACACAGCAAATGCTTATATGTATTTCTTATGCAACAATGAAGTTCTGTCCGTATTCTCAAAATAGTGTCGGCCCATAGGTTTTCACATGCAATTAAAATTGCATGCAATACAGCAATTAATACTCCCTTGTTGTAACCCGTGTTAGGTGGTATAAACCTACACGTTATTTGTCATCATTCACTTGATGGTCAGTTAATGAATTTAAAACAGGTCTAATTAGTGGTAACACCACTTGGATAACCCGACAAAGGTTCCCATTTTTTCATTTCTTGTGTCCGGAGTAAATACTCAACATTGATTAATTACTTTTATCTTACACAGAAGATTTGTCAAAAGGTAGTGTTCATGTATGTAGATTTACCAATCTATACTGAATACACTCTGTCGTGTCGGTGTCTGCGTAAAACAACTTCCTTCTTTCAAAGGATTAACCGCC